TTTTTTAATGATTATTTATTTTTGAGAGAGAGAGAGAGAGCACACACAAGCGGGGGAGGGGTAGAGAGAGAAAGAGACACAGAATCCAAAGCAGGCTCCAAGCTCTGAGCTGTCAGCACAGAGCCCAACACGGGGCTCAAACCCATGAACTTTGAGATCATGACCTGAACTAAGTCTGACATTTAACTGACTGAACCATCCAGGCACCCCAGGAGAATATTTGTTACAATCTTGGGGTAGGAAAAGCCTTCCAAAGCAAGACCCAGAACCCCAAAGCCATAAAGAAAAAGGTTGGCTGATTTGAGAAAATTAAAATTTTAAAACTTCTGGGTGGTAAGACATACTGTAAATAAAGTTGAAAGACAAGTGACAAATTACCAAAAAGTATTTGCTGTGTATATATTGCATATATATATACACACACACACACGTATATATATATACATATATATACGTACATATAAATAGAAAATACTTAACCGTCTCTAATTTATGTATGTATATATAAGTTATATTTATACAGTGCAAATACATTTAAATGTTTATATTCATATGCATATATTTGAACATGTTTATTATATATTTATATATGTAAAGAACTTCCCACAAGTCAATAATAACCCAAATAAGAGTTTAATGCAGGTTGCCAAAACACATGAAAAAAATATCAACCATATGGTTTATCAAGAAAAAAGCACATTTTAAAAAACGAGGTGCTGGGGCGTCTGGGTGGCTCAGTTGGTTAAGCGTCTGACTTTGGCTCAGATTGTGATCTGGCAGTTCCTGAGTTCCAGCCCCGTGTGGGGCTCTCTGCTGTCCATGCAGAGGCTACTTTGGATCCTCTGTCTCCCTCTCTCTCTGCCCCTCCCCTGCTTGTGCTCTCTCTCTCAAAAATGAGAAACATTCAGGGGCGCCTGGGTAGCTCAGTTGGTTAAGCGTCTGGCTTTGGCTCAGGTCATGATCTCGTGGTTCGAGAGTTCAAACCCCACATCGGGCTCTGTGCTAACAGCTCGGAGCCTGGAGCCTGCTTCAGAGTCTGTCTCTGTCTCTCTCTGTCCCTCCCCCGCTTGCACATTGTCTGTCTCTCTCTCTCAAATATAAATAAACATTTTAAAAAAATGAATAAACATTAAAAAAAAAAAAACAAAGCGAGGTGCCCTAAATTTGGTGCAAGTCTCTCGGATGGATAGTATGAAACGGGCACCCGCATATTTGCTTGGCAGGAGATTTGACGGGCTATTGAAACAGAAAATAGACACCACTCTTCGACACAGAAACTCCTGCACTAGGATAGTCCCTGCTCGTGCGTGCTCACGCGTGTCCGAAGTGACATGGGCCATCACTGTAGCATCAGTGGGTGAGAACCAGAGTTGCAGAAGCGAACGGCCTCGTATTTTTATTTATATAAAGAAGGGAGGAAGAAAATGAGCTGTGTTGATGAACAGACTCGTATGTGGATAAACGAAAAGGGCTCCAGAGGCTCCAGAGGCTCCAGGTCCTGGACAGTGCTGACCTCTGGGGACCGTATGAGGCATAGATGTGGATGAGAGTGGGGCTGTTGTCTTCTGCTTCTTTTTGTTCTGAATATATACACTGGTTAAACTTTCTTGTGTTAAATAGATGGCACATTCACGTAGTTCACAGATGAGAAGCGACATGAAAATGGTACATGTGTGCATACGTCTAGTCGTACATATATATGGTACATACACACGGTGTATATACATGTGGCAGTGTAGACATATGGTTATATGTAGATGCTGTTCTGTGCCTTATGTGGTCGTGTCCTTACCTGGAGATCTCTCTCTCTCTTTTTTTTTTTTTTTTTTTTTTTTTAGTTTATTATTTTGAGAGAGAGAGAGACACAAGCAGGGAAGAAGCAGAGAGGGAGACAGAGAGAGAGAGAGAGAGAGAGAGAGAGAGAGAGAGAGAGAGAAGCCCAAGTAGGCACAATGCAGGACTTAACCTCACAAACTGTGAGATCATGACCTGATCCCACCGGAGCCTAGAGTCAGATGCTTAACAAGCTGAGCCACTCCAGGCGCCCCTTTAAAAAAACATTTTTTTTTTTTTTTAAGTTTATTTATTTATTTAGAGAGAGTGCTCAAGAGTGTGAGCGGGGGACGGGCAGAGAGCTAGAGGGAGAGAGAATCCCAAGCAGGCTCTCTGTTGTCAACACAGAGCCCAACGCAGGGTGTTCATATTTTTAAAAATATTAATTTTTTAGAGCATTAAAAAATTTTTTTTTTAATTTTTTTATTACATTTATTTAGTTTTGAGAGACAGAGTGAGACAAGGTGAGAGTGGGGGAGGGGCAGAGAGAGAAGGAGACACAGAACCTGAAGCAGGCTCCAGGCTCTGAGCTGTCAGCACAGAGCCCAACACGGGGCTCAAACCCACAAACTGTGAGATCATGACCTGAGCCAAAGTCGGACGCCTAACCCAACTTAGCCACCCAAGTGCCCTCCAAATTTTTTTCTTAATGTTTATTTATTTTTGAGAGAGACAGAGCATGAGTGGGGAGGGGCAGAGAGAGAGAGGGAGACACAGAACGTAAAGCAGGCTCCAGGCTCTGAGCTGTCAGGACAGAGCTTGACGCGGGGCCTGCACCCACGGACTGGACAATGAGATCATGAGCTGAGCTGAAGTCAGTTGCTTAACTGACTGAGCCACCCAGGCGTCCCTAGGGCAGTTTTTAAGTTTATAAGAAGGAATATCAGGAATCACAAAGAATTACCAAATACCTCTTCTCTCCCTGCATGTGGTTTCTCTTATTACTTTTCTCTTGTATTTTTTTATTTCTTTTTTTAATTTTAATTTTTTTAAAGAAATACAGCAGTCTTTAACAAAAAAAATTTTTTTAACATTTACTTATTTTTGAGACCGAGAGGCAGCTTGAGTGGGCGAGGGGCAGAGAGAGAGGGAGACACAGAATCGGAAGCTGGCTCCAGGCTCTGAGCTGTCAGCACAGAGCCTGATGTGCGGCTTGAACCCCTGAATCATGAGGACATGACCTGAGCTGAAGTCTGATGCTTAACCGATTGAGCCACGCAGGCACCCCTAAAAAAAGTTTTTTTAACATTTATTTATTTTTGAGAGACAGAGTGCGAGCAGGGAAGGGGCAGAAAGAGGAGACACAGAATCTGAAGCGGGTTCCAGCCTCTGAGCTGTCAGTGCAGGGCTTGAACTCACGAACCGTGAGATTATGACCTGTGCAGAAATCAGGAGTCGGACGCTTAACCAAAAGTAGGCTCCATGCCCAGCGTGGTGTTTGAACTCAGGACCCCAAGATCAAAGGTTGAGTGCTGTATGACTGAGCCAGCCAGGTGTCCCTATGTATTGTATTAATTAGTGTGGTACATTCGTTACAACCGATGAACCAGTGTTGATATGTTACTATTACTATTGATGAAAGCCCATAGTCTATGTTAGGGTTTGCTGTTTTATTTTTATTTTTAAAAGAATTTTTTGAATGTTTTTATTAATTTATTTTTGAGACAGAGACAGAGCATGAGCAGGGGAGGGACAGAGAGGGAAACACAGAATCCGAAGCAGGCTCCAGGCTCTGAGCTGTCAGCACAGAGCCTGACATGGGACTCGAACTCACGGAGCGTGAGATCATGACCTGTTGCTCTCTGTTTTCTATTCTGAGTCTTGACAAAGGTATGATAATGTGTCCATAAATTCTGTATCACACAGAATAGTTGCACTGCCCTAAAATTTCCCCTGTGATCCACTTATTCATCCCTTCCACCCCCAAACTCCTCATCTTTTCACAGTCTGCTTAGTTTTGCCTTTTTCAGGATATCATATAGTTGGAATCATACAATCTGTAGTAGAAATAGAAAAACCCACGGTTCTCCTTGTGTGTAGGAAAAAAAATGCCAGTTCTTCCCTAATGTGGGTCTTTATCCTGTGTGTGTGTGTGTGTGTGTGTGTGTGTTTAATCTTTATTCATTTTTGAGAGAGAAGAGAGAGGGAGAACAAGTGGGGGAGGGCAGAGAGAGAGAGAGAGAGAGAGAGAGGGACAGAGGATCCAAAGCAGGCTCTGTGCTCACAGTACAGGGCTGTGTGGGGCTCGAACTCACAAACCGTGAGATCAGGGCCTGAGCCCAAGTCAGACCACCAGATGCGCCAAAGTTTTTCCCACACCAAGCAAGTCTCTGCAGCACCAGCTGGGCGTCCTACCATTTAACTCACTTCTGACAGTACCTGGGGATGGCCTCAGGTCCCACAGGTGAAGGGGCTCAGTCCAACACTGCCCCCCCCACTTCAGACACCAGTCATAAACCCCGCTTGTACTTCTGACCGTCCCGCTCCCAGTGACTCCCTGAGAGGCTCAGAGCTCAGGGAAGCACATTTTCCGGTTTAATAAAGGGTATGATGTTAAGAGAATCAACAGCAAGACGATGAGAGACGTAGGGCGAGAGGTCTGGGAGGGTCCTGTGTGCAGGAGTTTGTCCCCGTGGAATTGGGGTGTATCACTTCCCAGTGGCTGCCCTTCTGGAAGCTCTGAGTCCCCTAGTACTGGGATTTTATGGAGTCTTCCTTACATGGACCCAGTTGAGTATTAGCTCCATTTCCAGCCCCCATCCAGGAGCCCACCCAGAGTCATCTCTGTAGGACAAAACAGTTAGCAGTATTCTTTTAACCTCCCTCCGTGCCTTCTTGTAATTTGGTAGCTTACTCTTCTTTAAAAAAAAAAAAAATTTTTTTTTTTAATATTCTTCTATTTTTGACAGACAGAGCATGAGTGGGGAGGGGCAGAGAGAGAGGCAGACACAGAATCCAAAGCAGGCTCCAGGCTCCGAGCTGTTGGCACAGAGCCCGACACGGGGCTCGAACCCACAAACCATGAGATCATGATCTGTCGGCACAGAGCCCGACACAGGGCTCGAACCCACAAACCATGAGATCATGATCTGAGAGGAAGTCAGACACTTAACCGACTGAGCCACCCAGGCGCCGTGGTAGCTCAGTCTTCTTATTGCTGAATAATATCCCATTGTCCAGATGCACATTCTTTCCCAGCTGCGTAATACTCCATCGTGGAGATAGGCCAGGTCATGACCTTGAACTCATGACCCCAAGAGATCAAGAGTTGCATAGTTTACCGACCAGGCTCTTGGGCAAGTGACTCAACCCCCCGCTGGTCTCTTTCCCTCTCTGTGTATAATGGTTTGAAAATAATAATAATTGCCTTAGAGGATCCTTCTCTGGAAGCTTCTGAACACAGTGAGTTAGAACAGTGCGTCGGCCCCCGGAAGGGGAATGTTTCCTATGTCTTTACATCCAAATTATGGGATATTTTGCAACCATCCCATAAAAGAGGTCAAGCTCTTTCTGCTGACATGGGAAGACATCCTGCTGAGAACTGCAGAGGGCAAAAATGAAAGCAAATTGTAGAACAGGACGCAATGTGCTCACTGTGTGCCCTGAACAAATTAAGAACCGGAAGGATAATCCTGCTGCAGTGAGGGCAGAGCCACAAAGCCCACGTAACGGGAAAAAAACAGAAAAATGAAGGTTTCTTTCAGGAATATGGACGAACACTTGATCAGCAAAGATGGCTTATTAGCTGGGATTTGAAGGCTAACAGAAAATGCCTCGGCACAAGTCCTTCCTTTACTTGGACTCAACTCCCTAGTCTCACGTTCAAAGAACAAAAAAGGCCAGCTTTCTCCCAGTGCTAATAAACCTGGGTTACTTTATTCCGCACACATACAAACCCTTTTTAAGATTCGGTTGTCCCACCTACCTTTGAAACTGTTCATTACATGTCAAAAAAAAAAAAAAAAAGGAAAAAACCTCAGTGCCTGACGTGAAAATTAATGGCGATTATTAAATCAGGTTAGTTGCTATAAAAGCTTCAGCAGTCGGCTCACCCCGCAGCCTTTCTCTTGAAAGTGCGCTATATTAAAAATCTTCAGTGGGAACTGAATTGCATCCTGAGTTTTGTCTTCATGCGGCTGGGAAAATAGTAACAGTGTTTCTGGTTTTTCTCCCGCCCCGGCTCCACCGCGCTGACTTCCCTTCCAGAATAGCTCACATTTCTTAAACGGGCTCTAAGTGCCAGGCACGGTTCTGAGCGCTTGGGAGCGATGACGCGTGTAATTGTCACAATTCCGCTATCCACGCCACTCTGCAGATGAGGACACTGAGGCCCAGAGAGAGAAAATCCCTGGCCCTGGGGTCACGCAGGTGGGAAGGGCGAACCTGAGCCCAACAACTCGTCAGGCTCCCAAGCTCTGTCCCTTTGCCAGCAAAGATGTGTAAAGATGTGCCTGGCCGGGGCTACCGCCAGGGACCTTTTCGGGGAGGAAAGTTCAGTTTGCTCTGTATTCGAGTTTGGAACTTTTAGCATCGGCACTGACTACTACTAGGGCAATGAAATGAATCTAAAACATGAGCACTGCCCTCGCCACACTGGCTGACCCGAATGTTCTCACCCCAGCTCTGAGGAGGCCGGGCGGTACCTGGAGACCTACAAGGCCTATGAGCAGAAGCCGGCGGACCTCCTGATGGAGAAGCTGGAACAGGACTTTGTCGCCCGGGTGAGGCCACTACACCTCCCTGCCT